AGTAGGGCTGCACGATAAATCGCATGCGATATTTAACGCGCATCTTGTCAGTAAAGCCATTCTGTAATCAGCGGTAAATCTCCATCACGTGCGGGCTTTCACATGGAGCAGCATTAACTACACAGAGCCGTTGTTCACTGACGAGCTGCGCAAAACATGCGCAAAATATGATCGTGGTTTTAAATATCGCATGCGATTTATCGTGCAGCCCTACCGTGAACACACACCCGGAGCAGTGGACAGCCATGTGCTGCGGCTCCCGGGGAGCAGTTGGGGGTTCGGTGCCTAGCTCAAGGGTCTCACCTCAGTCGTGAGAGCTTTTTATCGTTTTTAAATATGTTGTGCGTTTTAATAGACCGGTGACGACCGCACAGAGTAGCATTATAACAGAACTTTCAAATGTATCTAGTATGATAAAACAGCGTTGCTTTTTTTTTCCCCCACATACGCACGACCGGAAAGAGCGTAAGCGGTCGACTGTGGCATAATAAAAGCTCCGCTGCTTTCAAGTCGTGTGTAACGCTCGTTCAACGGCCTCGTTTCACTTCGACGGCTTTAGGCCTCACCCTGCTTCATTCTACTACGTTAACAAATCAATAGCTCATCCATGAACATGATTTCTGCCCGAGTCCCGTCGGATTGCATCGACTGTGGGGATGAAGACGACAACTCCCATGATTCCACACTCATTCACGGTGTCATCAAACTACGCCTTTGTCTATTTGTTTATTTTGAATACGCGCCCTCTAGCGGCGAAAATTACATGTTGTGCCTTTTAAGGGGAAATCGGACGCCCATTTTCCATGAGTTGGTATGGTTCTTTAGGGTCTTCATGAAATGTCTACAATTCCTCAGTGGTCGTGTAAAACAACACCCATTTTACCTTGTCAAAAAAAGCTCTGTTTACAGCGACCCGTTTTGATGCATGAGCCACACAAGACACATTTATATGCAAACACCATGTCAAAGTGAATTTTGCATCTGATGTCCCCTTTAAATCGCAGAAAAATATTAATTAGTTTATTTTCCCGCCAAATCGTACAGCCCTAGGTGCAGTGCTGTTTCCTGTCCTTAAATTATCTTCAGGTTGGCACGTGTATGGTTTGCTTCAGCGCTCAGATAAGAAGTATGACGAGGCCATCAAGTGCTACAGGAATGCTCTTAAATGGGACAAAGACAATCTGCAAATCCTCAGAGATCTCTCACTGCTGCAGATCCAAATGAGAGACCTCGAAGGTTACAGGGTAAGTTATTTTGAATGTAAGTGCTTCCATGTGTTAGGAAACTACAATGTTCCATGGTGCAAGCCAGTAAAAATACAGTTTTTTCCAAAGTCATCCTTTCACTCAAATTGTTATGGTCATAATATAATTTGTAACATTTCGTCTATCACAGGAGACCAGGTACCAGTTACTGCAGTTGCGGCCGGCTCAAAGAGCCTCTTGGATCGGTTATGCCATTGCATACCACCTTCTGGAAGATTATGAGATGGCTGCTAAGATCGTGGAGGAGTTCCGCAAAACACAACAGGTATTTTTTTCACTGCTTCCTGTCAGTTGTCATCTACACTAAGTTTATTGTTGCAGATAGCTTAGTAATGAATAACACCAAGTGTTTGTTTTTGGATGCCACTGAGGTTTGTTGTTGATTGTGTTTCAGACATCTCCAGATAAAGTGGATTACGAGTACAGTGAGCTGTTGCTTTATCAGAATCAGCTGTTGAGGGAGGCCGGGCTTAGCAAAGAAGCCCTCGATCACCTGACCAACTATGAAAAACAGATCTGTGACAAACTGGCTGTAGAGGAGATACGAGGTGTGTTTTTTTAATATGCATATATATTGGTTATTGGCTGAAATTAGAGGGTTTCTGTTTTTTTCCCGGCTGATTGCATGATAATCGGTGTATGCTCATTTTTCATATTTTGCTGTCATCTGATGCTTGCTTAATATTTAAAACAAACACTCATTTAATAACACTGTTAAATCCTAACAAATCTCAGAATGAATATTCATATTTTAATGCTGAACATGTTGTGTTGTGATGCCTAAATTCACTTATACCATTTAAATGTATTTATTTATTTCCTTTTTTTTTGTAGTTATTTAACTACCATTCAAAAGTTTTGGGTGGGTGAGATTTTATGTTTTTGAAAGAAGACTCTGATGCTCACCAAGACTGCATTTACTGATTTGGTGCTCAAGAAACATTTATTATTATTAATAGGGGTGCTCCAATTGATTGGCTACCGATCTCTATCGGCCGATAATGGCTTGGGGAAGTTTGATCGGCGGTCTCTATAAAGGTTGATCTCATAAACCGATCTCAAGCTGATGACGCGCCTGCTGTGAGAGGTTTGGCATGACATGCAGCGGCACCGTCTCAATCTCTGTCCGGCGCGGGTAAAATAATTATAATGCTGATGGTGAGGTGCAGTTGATATTTCTTCAGTAAATAACATAGAACCCCTTTAAACACGTCTATGAAAGATTGTATTACTGTACTGCATAAAAACAGAATCACAATGCTCAAAAAGCATTTTCAGTAACAACGTTTGGATTTGAAATCAAAAAGGATAAATGTTGTGTTTGTGGTAAACAGCCACGGATCAGTAGCGGACCTCTGTGTGAAAGCACAGTATGTGTCCGTGCTGCTTCTGCACCGCTTACATACTGCAAATGGACTGCATGCGCACTGCAAACGGAGTATGTGTGAACTTGGCATGAGGCTGCCTCACATACAGCTCACGAAATCTGGCTTGTGCTGTGTGTAAGCTATTGTGCAACAATTGCCCCATTGTAAAAACAAAAATGCACTGCATGATCAAACATTTAGGTGAGATAATTATATAGGCCTATGTGGTACAAAACACATCAATTGGTTAAGACATTGTGTAGGATAATGCATTATTTTTTCTTTTTATAATCTGAGCTCAAAAATGGAAGTGTGCTTAATGGGTATGTGAGCTTAATAGGTACGCTTACCCTATTTTTGAAAAATGTAAAAAAAAAAAAATGCCCCCCTCCACAAGAGTCACCTAAGAGGGGAATTCCCCCCATTTTCAAAAATGAAATTCAGGCCCTGAATGAATGTCTAAAAAAATCCTGACTGGAGCATCACTATAAATAACTCTAAATGATAAAAAGAAGGCTTTAAAAAGATCGGTATCGGCAGATACTGCTTCCTGTGATCGACAATCGGTGATCTGCCCAAAAATCCTGATCGGAGCACCCTTAATTATTAATATTGAAAACAGTTGTGCTGCTGAATATTTTTGTGGAAACTGGTACAATTGTAGGATAAAATGAGTAGATGAATAGCATTTATTTGAAATAGTAATCTTTTGTAAAAATGTTTAATGTCTGTACCGCCAATTTTCATGTGTCCGTGGTTAATAAAAGTATTAATTTCTTTCAAAAAGAATTGCTGACCTGAAACTTTTGAACGGTAGTTAATTTTTTATTTAAACAAAATAACAGAATTTTAATATTAATTGTATATTTTCTGCGTTGACATCCTTATTTGTGTCATGATGAACTTGTTTATCCTCTGCTGTCGCCGTTTCTTTAAAGCAACGTATGTTGATATGTGTGTAGGAGAGCTGCTTCTCAAGTTAGATCGGGCTGGTGAAGCTACGGAGGTCTACCACCGACTGCTGGAGAGAAACCCTGAGAACTGGAGCTATTATCAAGGGCTAGAGAAAGCACTCAAACCAAGTAAATATAAATTTTTCTGGACACAAATCTTGGCTGATTTTCATTTCTATTAATCCCTGATACTATGTCATACTGCTCTCAGAGAGTGTTGAGGGGAAGCAGAAAATCTATGAAGATGCCTGGGTTAAGTATCCTAAAGGCCTGGTGCCAAGAAGACTTCCTCTCAACTTCCTCACAGGTCAGCACCAGTCTTGTCAAATCAATAGGGCTGTTATGCTCTCATAATGTGTCTGTGTATGTGACCGCATTTGGCTCTCCCAGGTGAGAAGTTTAGAGAGTGTTTGGATCGCTACCTGAGGATGAACTTCAGCAAAGGATGCCCGCCTGTCTTTACCACACTTAAATCACTCTGCCATCAAAAAGACAAGGTGAGACGGGGCAATATAACCAACAAAATGTGTAGAAGGCGCCTGCTGTGAGAGGTTTGGCATGACATGCAGCGGCACCATCTCAATCTCTGTCTGGCACGGGTAAAATAATTATAATGTTGATGGTGAGGTACAATTCATATTTCTTCAGTAAATAACTTACAAAGTCATTTGAAAACTTTCTGTGAGATGTAATTTCACAAACAGCGTGAGTGAATCACCGTGCGCTCTCTCTTTCCTTCTCTAAATGCGCAAATGGCTTCAAATCAGCACATCGCGTCTGCACAATAAGCGAGCTGCACAGTTCACACAGGAATTGTCACTTGCACAATCGAGGCAGTGTTGCATCGTCACTAAAGTTTATAATTTTCATTTCTTTTTAATTCTTGCCAGTGTTCAATTCAGCACTTGCGTGCTCGCCTAGAGACGGTGCGCTCATGCACACTCAAAACACACACACATAACTCCAGGTTCACACATACTCTTGCTTATATTTATTGTGTTTAAAGGGGTCCTATTATGCTCTTTTACAAAGTCTTGATTTTGTTTTGGGGGTGTACTAGAACAGGCTCTCATACTAGGTTGTTCGAAAAACACATTATTTTTCACATATTTGACATTATTACAACTCCTCGCTCCCCAGTCTGGCATGAACGGCTCGAATAGTTCCTGTATCAAATGAAGGCCCGCCTTCTGAAATACGAAATGTGCTGTGATTGGTTAGCAAGGCCAGTGTGTGTTGTGATTGGCACCACTCGGCGCCTGGTCGGGAAATGTCACGCCCCTTACCATAGCCGCCTGCTGCGAGCTTCA